CCCCAAAACCCCAAAACCCCAAAACCCCATTTCCTCTTTTAAAAATTGAATTTAGCTATCAAATGAGTCGATTACCTCTTTCAATTTGCCTCTCATACTTCTCTCACGTTCTTCAATCGATGTATTCTGTCTGATAAGCTTCTCAATAATGTTCTGAAACTGCTCTTCAGTCTGTAGCCGTTCGTACTCTTCCTTTTCAAGCCTCCTTGCAAGGATGTATCAGTAGTTGAAATATTCTTCCTGAGATAGATTAAGATCATCTTTTCTAAAACTAGGAAATCTTTCCATTGACTTCGAGTGCTGAATATACCCTATCCTCTCTAAGTTGTTCCAAGACCTGTCACTCCTTCTTCCTAGTAGGTCTGGAGTTGATTCAGTAACCTGGATTCCTACTTGGGTGCCAAAGAACATAGAAGGATCAAGTTCATTGATCTTCAGGAATTTCTGAAATGCTTGACTTTTTCGTAATTTCTCAAGTCTTTCAGCCAATTTCTCAAACTTATCATGAGAATTATTAAACAATCCAAAATTTCTTTCTTCGTAGACCACCGACTCTATTTTATCCCTCAAGTCTGAGTTAGAAAGGTTGCCAAGGGAGATAAGGTCATCCTTCTGGGCTTGCAAATACTCAAGCTTATTTACCAAATCTGCTTTGTCTTTCTGAAGAATATGGACTAAATGTAAATAAACAGCTTACTTGTCTCTCGCAGCTGGAGGATTTGAGCCTTAGATTTATTTTAAAGTTTCAACAAGTCCGCTTATTTTCCCTCTCAATTTGGCATAACTTTTCTCTGACCTTGGGTTAGACTCTACAGTATGAAATAAACAACGCACTTTGAGCGCTAGATCTTGACCGGTCTAGTCGTTTAACTCTTGTGCTCTTATTCAGTCTTTTCAGTAAAGACTGACTTTTAGCCCTGTTCATGGAAATATCAAATAGTCGGTCATTGAGTTTAGTGGAGTTAAAGCTCTTACAAGAGACATCCTTCCGTACTCTGATAACTTTTCTAGGACTCTGAGATGCTTGTTTAGACTTGGAGCTTCTCTTAGTTAAAGAAGCCCTGATAGGTTTCATCGTGCACCCGACTTTCTTTGGAATTGTTCTCTTTTTGGATTTTTCTTCAATAAGAATAGGAAGAAATCTGCCACTTCTATATCTGAGATCTTGCATTTTACCTTCTTGGCTTGTGCTGTGTCTCTTTTTGAAGGCAATCATAAGGATTTTGACTAAAAATAACTGTAATTTTACTTCTTCACAGACATCTTATTAAACTTGATGAAATCAATAGTTGGTCGACCATCCCAGGACTGGTTTAGAGTATTCTTTCTGGAATTATTCGAGATTCCTCTGGTCTTGCTTGAATCTAAATACTGTGTCACAAAAGATCACTTAAAAACACCTTGTGCAGATTATGGCTAATTACGAACAAAAGTACCTTTATTTACCGATGTACTTCCCTGTCTGTCCATAGACAGCATTATACAAATTCTTTTGGAATGGGTTACATTTTGGGCCAGAATTATGAACCTTAGGTAGAAGTTTCCTCTGAGAGATCCTTTCTCTTTGTCCCCTCTGACAAAGGGGGTCCTTGTTCTCGATCTCATTTGGAATATCGAAAGCTATAGTTTTCTCAATTTTAGGAGAGTCATCTGGGTTAATCCTGTCAACTCTTTTTGAAATCTTAGACTTATGGTCCAAGGTCATCTCTTCAACATGTAATTTCTTAGGTTTGATCGGAAAATTTTCATAAACATTTTCTGTAGTTGTACTCTGAATCTAAAAATGATTAATTGACTAAACTAATCTCACATTTTCAGATTGGTTTTGAGAGACTCATTCTGAGTAAAATTCTGAATCTGATTCTACAAATTTAGAGCCAAAATTTACCAGAAATACTCCTAAAATTTTGCCACTGCTTCATATTAGCTTCAAAGGTGATTTAATATTTAAATTTTGGGGTTTTGGGGTTTTGGGGTTTTGGGGTTTTGGGG